TTTATCACTTGAGACAGGGTCTCCCTGCAGCCCCAGCTGGCCTGGAACTCACTATGTAGACCAGGCTGCCCTTGATCTCACAGGGATCCGCCTACCTCCGCCTTCCAAGTGCTGGAACTAAAGACGAACGCCACCACGTCCGGCAAAATAATGTATTTGGCTCACTTCCACAACCCCAGTGCTCGACTTTCCCCACTAGCTTTCTCTCTTTTCAGCCCCTTCTGTCCTCCCGGCCCAGGGCTGCCAATCCTCTCACTATCCTTCAGTGCCCTCCTTTCTGGCCTGTCCTCCTCCTGGTGGCCACCAGAGGGTAGCAAAGGCACAGGGAAGCACGGCCTGCTTCCAAAGGAAGAGGGGAGAGGTGCGGAGGAAAGAAGGAAACCTAGCTTTGGTTGCCACAGAAACGGCGCAGGCCCCAACTACTCCCAGACCCAGGCCCGCATTTCCTCCGTCCATTCCTCATAATTCAACAAGCCGGAGGAGCGACTGAAGGGATGGAAGCGAAGGGTGAAAGCCGAGATTCCCCTTCTTGGGACCCAAGCCCTCTCATAGCTCCTCCCAGCATGCCTACTTACTGTGGGTCCACCCCCCAAGGCCAGTCCAACAGGACTTGCCCTCACACACATACGCGTGTATGCCGGCTTCATGCATATACATGCACAAGTTCTATGGCACAAACACAAATATGCCTGCCGCCCACTCACAGGCATCAGACACTCAGAAAAGCTAGATTGCTTGTATGCTGAGTACAGTTGGCCCCAACAATCTCAGGGTCTAGGCAGAGTAGGGGGTGCAGTGGGTGCATCTAGACAAGATGTCTGTGTTACTTTCCAGATGAGTTTCTGGAACAGAGAAGCAGATGCTGGAGCCACAGGAATCCCCACCTGCTTTGTCCCCATCAAAGTGCTGGTCTGAACACCCTCGGAGGTGGCACAGAATAATGCAGGGATGGGAGAAACACCTCAGTGGAAAAAGAAATACCAAGTGACCAGGAGTTTCCCTAACTTCCTTAGTGGAAGAATGCACATATGTTGGGGCTGGAGAGATGGCTCAGTGGTTAAGAACACTGACTGTTCTTGCAGAAGACCTGGGTTCGAATCCCAGCACCCACATGACAGCTAATAACTGTCCAAAACTCCAGTTCCAGGGGATCCAATAGCCTCTTCTATCCTCCGCAGGCACTGCACGGCATGGGTGCATTTACCTACATGCAGGCATTAACACTCATACACACAAAATAAAAATAATAAAATATATATAAAGAATGTACATATGTTGGCAGTACACTGAACCCAGTAAACCATGGGGTATCTGGCAAAATATCAAACCACTGGGGTCCCCAGTCCCTGGGAACTCCCTGAGGGGAGGAACTGCTTCTCAGTGTCACCAGGCACCACCCAGTTCCACACACAGTAATTAGATCCATTAGGGAAATGACTTCGAGGCATCTTCATTGGGTGGGGCCTTGAGGGTCCTTCATTGGGTGGGGCCTTGAGGGTCCTCCGGGACATTGCCCTACTTCATTGGCTTTATTTGTGCTGCCCACTCCCCAAGACTGTCAGTGAGGCAGATGGTGTTTGGACGCCCCAGTAAGAATGGGCACAACCTTCTTGAATCATCAGGAATGCCACCAGTCCCACTTAGTTCCCATGGGAGTGATGGGTCACTCAGGCCCCTCCCTGGCCCTGGCACTCAGGTGGGCAGGAGTCTCAGCCTGGGGCCCTGGGAGCAGGAAAACGGGTTAGACAAGGCCTACCTCCCAGACACCACTCCACCCCACCCCAGCCTCACATGTCCATCCCAATCCCATAGTCTCTTGTTCCTGCCCTCAGGCCCTGGGGAGGGGGCTATCTGCCAGCCAGCTCAGGGTGCGAGGCCTGGAGTAGCCCCATAGTCACACGGGGCCTCCTTCCTTGAGCCTCACCCAAGTTTCCAGTCTCATTCTGAAGCAGCCCCTCCCTGCTACACTGTCGGTTTCCTCCTAACACACACCCCATTCCAGCTAGAGAGCTAGCCAACTCCAGAGATATTCGTACAGGTGGTACCTCGGTTTCCTCACGGGGTGGGACTGGTCATATAAAGTGGTCGCTGGGTGACCAAGGGAAGAGAAGCCAGCCACCTCTTATGGCACAGGAAAAGGCCCAGAAATGCCCCCCACCCAAAGCTGGGCATGTGGGTGGGACAAAGACCTGCTCACAGGCTGGCTGTGTCCAGTTGGTATCTGGTGAACAAAGGGCAGAAGGCTGGGTGCCAGGAATCCCAAACCAACTCCTAGGAGATCCGACCTGTATGTTTGGCACAGCCTCTTTAATTCAATCTGTCATCCTACCTAGTTTGGCAGTGAAGGGGAGGTGCGACTGGGCCCCAGCAGAGCTCCGCAGCTAACCCCGCCTCCATGGCCCCACCCCTCCCATCCCTGTGAAGGCGGGGGGGGGGCGGGGGGGTACTGGAATCTGGGGAATGGTTGTGCCCTGCCCCATCCTTCGGGGAGTTTTCTATTCTTTCCTCCTCTTCATCCCCATCTTGCCTCCCACTTCTCTCGCCTTCACAGCTCATCTAGAGGGGGTACCCCCTAACCCCATTATTTTGGTCCCTCCAGGCTTGCAACGCCGCGGGGCACAAGTCTTTCACTGCTTTGGAGGCCGGGTTTCTCTCACCTGCCCCATTCAGTCTCCAGTGTCCGCCTAGGGGAACTGGATGCGAATCGAAGGAGCCGGGAAGGAGCAAATGTCCCTCCCCCCGGGGGGGTAATTAGGGGCAGGTAAACAGGGTGCCTAACAAGACCAGGGAGAAGGGAAAGGCTCCTAAGGGACCCTGAACTTGTTAAATCCCTACCCGCGGCTTTAGAAGCCTAACGCAGAGTTAAGGGAGTGAAGGTGAAAAGCAGAAACTAGCTTCCCCTCTAACGCGCGCCCCCGAGGCTGCGCGCCGCCTGCTCCAGCAGGCGAGGCCAGACCACGTGTGCGCGGCGTGGGGTCCGCGCGCCAGGCTTTGGGGGTGGCGCGAGTGGTGAGCAGGATCCCCCCGCGGCGCGTGCACACTGACACCCCGGCGCCCCTCAGTCGCCCTAGGCCTCCGCGCCCTCCCCGAGGTCCGGGTCTTGGCAGTCGGGTTCTGTGCCCAGGGCTTTCCCAGGCCGAGTCAGGTGGTGGAAAATCGGCGCGCCGGTCACCCCCACCCCTCGACCCTGCGACAGCGGCGGCGGCGGCGGCGGCGAAGGTTTATTGATCTGCAGCGGCGGAGAAGGGCGAGAGACTCGCCGAAAGCGAGACACGCAGAGATGGAAAGAGACTCTGACACACACAGGGGAGATTAACACAGACCGATTCACTAGGAGGGAAGAGGGAGGGAGCCCCAGCGAGAGAGGAAGCCAGAAACGGAGAGAGGGAGGAAAAGAACAAGAACCCACGAAGACTTAGAAAATGGGAAAGACTCAGCAGTCGATCCAAGGGGGGACCCAGACCGTGGATGTGGACACAAGGAAGGGACACATCGGCGACTAGGCGAAACGGAAAGAACCAGCACCGACACATTTAGTCTTAATAAATTATTTGTTGAATGAATGTGTGAATGAAAGAGATCTGCAACATCTCCCAATACCGAAAGAAATGCTCCTGAGGCGCGTGTACCAACACCTTCGCTTGGTTCAAAGAAATGAGGCACCGGCTGGACTCTCAGCGCCCCTACAATGTCAGTAGCGGCTCTGGGGACCCCTCGACTGCACTCGCATCTCTTCCTCCAATATAGTCCCCCACCACTCTAGTTTCTGGGTCACGTTAGGAACAGGTCTTCCAGATTCCAGGGGACTAACTCCAGGGTCTGAATTGGGGAAGGGGAGAGAGGGCTAGTGGCCACCGCCGAGCCACTGCCCCCAGGTCTGTCAAAGGCCGCTGCACGTGTCCCATCAGCACCCTCTCACGTGACCCCAGGAGGCGGGTCGCAGACCCTCCTCACGTGACCCCAAGGGGCCGAGACCCTCCGCACAGGATGGGAGGTGGGAGCCAGGAGCCTAGATCACGTGACTGGGGGAGGGGCGCGGGAGCCTGTGGCTCGGTCGGGCCCCGCCCCCAGCTCCCCGGCTCGCTCCACTCCCGGCTCCCAAGCACGTCGCTCTCACGATTTATGGGGCCGCGGATGCCGCAGTGAGAGCCGGGGAGCCCGGGCGCAGCGGCAACAAAGGCCGGGGACGCGAGGCGGGGGCGGCGGCGGCGGCCTCCTGGCCGGGTGTGCGCCGCCTCCTACCTCTCTGCTAGTCCACGCCGGTACCGGAGTGGAGGGGACTGAAAGGAGGTTCTCGGAACCCGGCTTTCCCATCCCCTTCCGGAGCCTTCACCTGTGCCCAGGTGTTCGCGGGGGAGGGGAACCTGATCCACACTTATTTTCCAGCACCCCCTGGGCTCTGGCGTGCTAAGACCAGGGGACTGCCTGAGCGGTGGCGGGGACCCCGGGGTCTCTCACCTGCGAGCTTCCCACTAGCGCTGGACTGTAGCGGGTCGCGGGTCGAACTGAATCTGGGGGAGGGGGTGAGCTAGATACAGCAGGAGAGTCAGCCCTCAGCGCCCCTGGGGGATGCTGAAGTCCCGCTCCGGGGGGGAGGGGCTGCATCCCCACCCCCGACGTTTCCATGGGAAGCGAAAGGGGGGCGTCGTTAGATCATCCCCACCCCCAGTCTGACACTCTGGGCGCGAGGAGGGAGAGGGGGAGGCGAAGAGCCCCAAACAACAAAGAGTAGATCAGCAAGCAGGAGCCCCTCCCCCGGAAGGTTGGGGGTCGCGGCCACAGGCCCTCCAGGTCCCCTCCGCTTGGGGGTCTCACCATTTGCTCTCTAGTTGGCTCCCAGGGTGGGGAGCCAGAAGCAGTGCTTGCCACCACCGCCCGGGCAGGTGTGACAGTGACCCCCGTATCCCCGGGGATCCCCCTACCAACACACTGACACACTGAGGTGGCAGCTCGGCGGGAGGAGAAGACAAGGGCAGCGAGGACTGTGCAGAAGGAGGACCCAGTCCCGCAGCTGGCACCTGAGGAGACCACACGGTCACCCCGACACCCGCTCAGACCGAGGCGGCGCCAACAGCCACCCCAGCCCAGACAAGGCTGGCCACGCGGACACCGACCGAAGCCCCCTCCCCGACCTGCCGCCCGCTCCCACCCCTAGACGGTCGCCGACGCAGACACACAAATCACACAGACACACGCACACTGACAGCCGCGCACGCCTGCTCACACTGGGTGCCATACGCCGTCCCTAGCTCAGCGTGTTGCGTGTGTGTGTGTGTGTGTGTGTGTGTGTGTGTGTGACACGCCAACATCTCTATGCTTTCTTCCTTCTCAGCAGGGCCCCCCAACTCTGCGACCCAGCCCCCGCTCATCCCAGCAGGATTTATCCACACAACCAGGGCAACCTATTCCTCTTGCTTCTGAGGTGGGGTGGGTAGGACTTCCTGCCTTAGTTCTGAACCCCACTTTTAAAAGCAAGAGTCCTAGGTAGAGCCCCAAGAAATAGACCTAGCTGAAAACGGGTCATCCTTGGGCCCCCAAATGCCGCGGCCTATTCCCAACACACCGGTACCCCAGACTCCAGCCCAGTGAAAGGGAGTGTAGACAGTAGGGGAACTATGGGTCAGGGGCACGCTATTCCAGCGGCGGGTGTGGGGAGAAGCCAAGATGGGGCTGGTCCTCCCCAGCAGCCTCCTCCGCACGGCCCAAGCGATCCTTACTATTCCTCAACAGCTTCTCTCCTACACCCCCGAGTTTCACAGACGCCCACGGAGTGCGTCCCCTCTCCTTCTCCTCTCAGCCCAGCCTGGTCTCCCAAGACTCCCACCAGGTCCCCCTAGGACTTCACGCCCCCCCCCCAGCTGCCCCCTCACTGACACGGGACGAACGGGCTCTCTGGGCCCCCGACTCACTGCTGGTTGGAGCTGTTCCAATACACCGCATGCCGGTTTCCCAGCGCGCCCCCAGGCCCCTGGGCCAGCAGCGGCAGCAGCGGAACGGGCACAAGCAGCAGCAGCAGCAGCAGCGGAGCCGCCGCCATCCCCGGAGCCGCCGCCGCCGCCGCCCCCCGACTGAGCCCCGCGCTCCCGGCTTCTCAGCTCCCAGCTCCCTGCTGCCACCGCCTCCAGCCCCCAGCCTTAGGCCACGCCCACAGTCCTTCCCTCCGCCCTCCTGGGCGCGCCCCCGAAGCTCCGCCCCTGGCGCGCTCACGCCGGGCTCCGCCCCACTTGGTCCGGGAGCGCGCAGCGCGTGGGCGATGGTACCGTGTCGCCCCTCTAGGAACCGCGCACCTCGCCTCTCCTAGGTTGTTTGCTACAGCTGCCTGTGCCTTTTACTCCCCAGGCTGGAGTTCCCAGAAGGATTTGGGTGCTCAAGACTGGGACCTTCATGTTGTGTCCACGCCTTTCTCTGTAGAGTCTTAAGAAGAAGTGCCTGAGGTCTACCTCTGAATAAGCAGGACTATTCTCCCTACTTGTATGAATCATTGGGCCTCTAACCTCTGGATGACCCTCTTTCATGTGATGAAAAGTTAAGTGGACATACAAGAGTGACGGGGAAGCCCTCAGATGGCACCTAGGAGCTGACAACTGGCCACCTGAAGCCCCTCAGCTGAGCCTGAGAACTTGTTTTTCTTGGAGTCAGAGCAGAGAAACTCAGTCCAAAGAATGTTGGTACTGGGTGCAAGAAGGTCTCTGGTAGTCCCAAGGGACAGGAGAGGATCAGGGTGGGAGCCATATGGAGCCAGGAAGTAGCTGAGTAGCCCTAAGCCCACATAGGGCCCATTGCTGGCTCCAAGGAGAGCCCCTGCCTCCTGATTCCCCTAGTGATGTCCTCAGGCATGGTCATTCCTGCTCCCATAGATGCTGACTCTAAGGACAGAGGGCATGACACTTTGTGTTCTAACTCTCATCACAGTCACTGTCTTCTTGGGGATACCCAAAGCACACACATCATGTATACACAATGAAAAAAAAAAGTGTGATACTCAGAAGCAGAGATCGTAGAAACACAGGCACTTGACGCATAGTCTGACAGACACACTAGTGAAGGTGCTACCAGAAACTAGAGATCTGTAGACACACCGGCCTATAAACACACAGAGACATCAAAGTATAAACTCAAACAGACACAGACACAGACAGACAGACAGACAGGCACACACACACACACACATTCTTCCAAGCAAATCCACCTGTACACTTTCACACACCCACAAGTCTTTTCCTGGGAAGTAAGAATTTAAGAGGACCCCGAATCCAGACCTAGTGTGTATCCACCCATTATCTCTTCTCTTTTCTAGAAGGACAGACTGAGTAGCAAGGCAGAACCAAGCCTGTGTGGGTTCTCAGGACTTACACAACTACCTGTGCTGGATACCAGGGAGGCAGACATAATGCTATGTTACTGTGCTTCAGGAGACAGGACAGATATAAGCACTATCTGCTTATCTTTAGTAGAACAGGGTCCTGATCACAACCCTGCCCTGCCTAGGTGCTGGGTTTGGGGGAGGGGACTGCATGCATAGTAGGCTCTGTGCTTCCCTGCTGCTAGGCAAAAGCATGTGCTGTCTTCTCTGGGCACCCCTAGGAGATATCTTTTCTCAGGAACTAGAAAATAAATTAGGCCCCTTGGGATGGAGGTGGGGGACTTTGTAAACAGCTCTCCATTGCATCCCTAAAGAGATTTGTTTTACCCAAGTGATGCTAACCTGCCTACTCCAGAGGCCACAAATCCCAGCCCCAGCCCCTCCCAACCATCCCTTTGCTTCATGGAGGTAGGCTTCTCTCTGGAGCAGAGTAGCCATAGAGTCTGTCTATATGCATAGTAAGTGGGAGCTTGCTTAGTTGGTCCATGACTTTGGATTCCATTTTTGAATCCTTAGATTCCTGCTTATAGAATCTGGGTTCTAAGCTAGAAATGTACTTTACTGGTAGAGCACTTGTATGAGGCCCAAAGTTCAACCACCAGTACTGAAAAAATAGATTTAAAAAAGAAAAAAAAACCCAAATACTAAAATTCGGGTTTTGCTTAGGGTGACATGGATTCTATACTTTAGGACCCAGATGTTTCTGTTTAGAATCTAGTACTCTACCCACTTCTTCCAATAATAATGGAGGAGCTTTCTCCCTTGAACTCCAGGCCCTCTCTCTTTAAGTCTGGATTTAAGTCTTTCTCTCTCTCTTTCTCTCTTTCTCTCTCTCTCTCTCTCTCTCTCTCTCTCTCTCTCTCTCTCTCTCTCCCCCCCCTTGGGCCTAAGTCTGCCTTTCAAGTTGAGGTCTTCTCTGTGGGGCCTGTGTCCATGGGCTCTGGTGCTCTGGTATCTAGGCTTCTGTCCATAGAGTGCTTTGGGCCTTTGTGTGAATAAGAAAAATCACCCCTCTATGAAGACTTTGTCCCTAGTGTACAAATCTTGGCAAGTGGTACCTTTGTGCAAAAACAAAGGTGCTGCTTCCTTCAGTGGGAGGTGGACTTATATGTCTCTCCATCTTGGTGAGGGAGCTTGACTTGAGCTCAAGTCAGCTTCCTCTTGCCTTCGGTGTGACTTCTCTATGTCAAGGACAAACTTCCCAGCAGTATGTGGCAGCTTTGTCTATAGAATGTGCAGAATACACAGCTGCAGCCGCAATGCCTTGGCCTGCTCAAGAGCCTTTACTCAAGATAACCAGGTTTCTGTGTATGAGATCCGAGCTACTGTCCACATGCCTAGGACCTGATCTGTGGCATCTGGGTCATGAGAGGGCATAGTCTTCTGTCAATGAGAACTAGGCCTTTTGACCTACAGTAGGACTAAGGAGGATATCAATTTGGTGCTGGAATTCAGCATGTGTGCACACATGCGCACATAATGTACACACATGGCTGAATATAATCTAACAGAAGTGGTATCATGAAGCAACACTTTCCCTTACTACAGATGACGTGCTCTCATAATTTTCCCGTGTTTATTCTTAAAATTTTTTTTTTGGTCTTTTTTGGGACAGGGTCTCCCTATAGCTCCAGGTGCCTGGAACTCACTCTGTAGACCAGGCTGGCCTCGAACTCACAGTGGATCTGCCTGCCTCTGCCTCCCGAGTGCTGGGATTAAAGGCATGCACTACCACGCCCAGCATGACTTATATTTTTAAAATTAATTAATTTATTGTGTATGAGTGTTTTGCCTGCATGTAAGTGCACCTGTGTCATGCAATGCCCACAGAAGCCAGAACGGATTAAAGGAGTGTGCCACCACCCACGCCCGGCTATTAAAAATTTTTAAATAAGGCAGATATAGTGGTATATGCCTGTAATCTCAGCACTTGGGAGGCAGAAGCAGGAGGATTCAAGGTCAGCCAGGCTTGCTGGCAAATGTCTCTAATCCCATCACTCAGGAGGCAGAGGCAGGTAGATCTCTGTGAGATCAAGGCTAGTCTGGTCTATATAGCAAGTTACAAGCCAGCTGAGGCTATTTAGAAAGACCCCTGTCTCAAAAACCAAAAAAAGAAAGAGTTCAAGGTCAAGCTGGACATGGTAGTACACACCTTTGATACCAGCACTTAGGGGGGCAGAGGCAGGCAGATCCCTATGAGTTCAAGGCTAGCCTGGTCTATGTAGTAAGTTCCAGGTCAGCCAGAACTACATGGTGAAACCCTATCTCAATATAGTAAAAATAATAAAATTTGGCTCATTGAATAGAGTGTTAACCTAGCATGGTGGCATACATGTGTAACCCCAGCATTTGTGAGGTAGAAGCAGGAGGATCAGAAGTTCAAGGTCACGTCAGCTACAAAGTGAGTTAGCCTAAGCTAAATGATACTGTCTCAAAACAATAATAGTGACAATAATAATAATAAAGCTGCTTGATACTCATAAAATCGGTTCCTTGATTTCACCTCCCACAGTAGGTCACAACCTAAAGTGTGAAACATGGAACACCAGGCTGGGCCGTAATTACTGTCTGTGGATGAAGCCTCTGAGAGGCTGGGGTTTTCTCAATGGGATTTCCCTCTCTGGGCCTCCTTCTCCTCACCTGCGGGCTTTGCCTTCTATTCCCACCGAACCTAGGGCTGGCTACCATGAGCTCCCTAGGAGCACTGAGCTCAGGCTCCTGGAGAACGCTGGCAAGGTGCTCCGTTCTCCCTGCTCTCTGGGGCCCAAGGAAACAGGAAGCTGAGTAGGCCTGGGCTAGAGAGAGCTCTTAGGCTATGTAGCCCAAGGCAGCTCTCAGGACGGGGTGGCAACCACAGTGCTGAGCTCCGTTCAATAAATCATGGAGGCTAGAGCCTGGGGGAGGGGAAGGTTAGAAGGGGAGGGGGCCTGAATAAATAATTCATTAAACAAACAAACAAGGAGCCTGTGAGAGGGGAAGCTTGAGCGCGTATATGTACGGGAACAGCAGCCGTCAGCTCCCAACATGAAATATTCACAGGTTCTGCACTTTCCACAGGCTCATGTGTGTGCTGCTGGGCAACTACCACAGACACAGGAGTCTTCTGACTTCTGTGTGTCAGCCTGGCTCTGTAATGTGCTAACCTACCTGGGACTAACATGGAGCTGTACATATGACTGACACAGAACATATAACACACAACTGACAGCAGAAAACAAAGTGCCCCCCAATTGTGAGATGTAGTTCTGCTAGTAGGGTGTTTGCCCAGCATGCACACAGAATGAAATTAGGATTCAGGGCCTGGTTGGTTGGGATCAGGGCATAATAAACTCAAATCCTGCACATGCCCTGATCTTTTTACTGGACCTAGGAAGCCAGGTGGCTTACATCAGGGTGGCATCTCTGGGGTGTTCCATTAGAAGTGTGTGTACCTCTGGTGGTACTTCAAGAAAAACTGGGAGGGAAGAAGAATGGTCCCAGCATGAACCTAAGCAGTGGCCATGACTGTCATTTAGCATCTCCAGACTGCTTCTCTGTCTCTCCAGTGGGGCTAATAATACCTCCCTACTTGAGAAATTGGTTGTTGGAAAGATCAAGATCCACACTGAGAAGCACTTAGCACAGTGCTTAGGGCTCAAGAGATGCTTGATTAATGGAGGCTTCATCATCATCGTTATTAAGAGGTTAGCTCCTAGCTCTGCCCACCTAGACCAGCCTAGACTCCTGTTTCCATTTGCTTCCCTTAATATCAAAGCTTTCCTGACAGCCATCACAGGAAGAGGTGACCTAGGACTTGGAGAGTAGGAAAAGTATAGGAAAAGATGAAAAGGACTGAAGGAAGGGTGAGTTACATTTTTAAATAGTCTCCATCACAGTGTAGGGGAAGGGGCTCCTTTGCTTTCTTAGACCCCACAGCTTTTGTGTAACCCCCAAACTATATCTAGCACTGATGTTTACAAGGTTTTGATTTCTAGAAAGTGACTGTGAAGACCTGGTTTTGAGGTCTCTGAGGAGTACAACCACCCCCAACCTCATCTTCACTGCCAAAGCCCCTGGCCTCTACTCTGCCCAACAATCAAGGGTGTTCCTGGCAATGATGCTTATGCCCGGGCAAAGCCCAGAACAGTGGCACCCAAGAGTGGGTAGGGAGAATCCAGGCTGTAGACTAGAGCCTTGGAGGGTCAGGGTGGAGTATCTGGCAACCTCTCAGCAAGCTCCAGCATTCCCCAGGGCCTTCTGCCATCCCCTGGAAAGGATCAGTTCCCCAGGGAGAGAGCCAGCAGACAGGTCTGAGCCGGCCTGCTCCTTCACACAGAACTGGTGGGGGAGGGAACTTGGGATCCTGGTGGAGATTAGTGAATACAATATCCATCTCACCTAGGGAGTCAGGGGCAGAGTGGTCCACCATGCCTAGGAACATCCTACACAGCCTAGAGCCCAGCCCTTTGCTGCCCTTGGCCAGATCACTGCCACTTCAGGAGCTAGGGTTCTGGGCTCTAAATGTAAAGATAGTGTCTCCCCATCCCTTTCCATGGAGCCAATATCAGTTCTCCACTTCTCTCCCCTGGGCTGGGCAGGTTCAGGCCAATCTGCACAAGAGCTTCACAGCAAACATTGATCTGTAATAAAACCACAATATATGTTTAGAAGAGATTCCAGACACAAAGTGATCCAGACAACACACATACACACCACAGTCATGTAGGTGCAAAACCAAGAGTCCTTAAAACACATCTCAACATGGACCTATACTATGTCAGTACACACATCTCCTGGCCATAAACTTTGCCCTTCCAAAATCAAAGTCTTCTCTTCTGGCCTGTTTTCCCTCTGTTCCTATTACTTTGTTTGTAGCTGTATACTTTGTATGTAATGTTTGCACTTGGCATTATGATTATTCAATGGTTAGTCTGTCACAGACAATTCCTTAGGGAGAGGGATCGTGTCTCATGCAAGTGTGTATCCCTAGTATCTAGCATGCAGTCTGGTATTTAGTTAGTAGAGGTACTTAGTAAATAATTGTGACTCTGTGGGGAAAAAAATGTATTCGGGCAGTGCCACCCATTCTTAGACTCCACCTGGAGTCCACAGAGGAGCGCCTCTGCATGGTACCATGTGCCTAGCCCTTCCTTCTTGTATCCAGGTGCCCTGACCTCATACATTGCCTTTCAATTTCCTCAGAGGCCTTCCTTTTCCTTCCTTTTACCAGTGTGAGACCATGAATTTGAGTTTCATATACATGATAGCTAGTAGGCAAAGTTAGGGTTAATGAACCTCATTAGTGTTTAATTGGGGGGAAGGAAGCTGCCCTGGCACCAGACAGGTGGGCAGGCCTGCCCTTCCTTTGCTGGAACCAGGCATCCCTAGTTCCAGCACCCTGACAGACATGTGGGTGATTTGGCCCTGGAGACCCTCAACCCAATTGGGGCACCTCCCCCCACCACTTGCTTTGCCAATTTAGTCTCCAAGCAGTACAGCCTAGCACACCCCATCTGTCACCAAACATCTAGAGGGAGCAGCAGACTCCTTATCCTTTCTCCTTTAGCTAGGCTTTGCCACCTCCCACCCCCAGGAGACTCTGGAAGGTGGGAGGAGGGGTGGGGAGAATGGAATTGGACAGTGGAGGAATACAGAGCCACAAAGAGATAGATTGAAGATACAGACAATTGACACAGTTAGGGAGGTGTGGATGTCTGCCCAATTTGACCTTAAATGAGCAGAATGCAAATGAGATGCAGACTATATGCAGATGAGCACAAGGATTTCAGAATTGACATTCCCCATGGCAGTAACTCTGCACCCAAGACACCAAGGCTGTTGCCAATAACCCTACCTAAACTTTGGAGGCTAAGTGATACTGACCCCCTTTGAGTGTAAAAAAAAGATCTTAAGACAAGAGCTTAGTTGGGTGAGGGCTATGGAACCTGGGAACTTCAATTCCACCCCAGCTTCCTCATCCCATTTCCCAACACCTGATTAAAGTGTCCACAGAAGATCAGCCTAGTAGCTGGAGCAATGACCACTTTCCAGTTTATGCCTGGACCCACCGTCGGTTGCCATGGGGACCCCCCCTTCATTTCCAGGCATGAACCAATGCACATTGCCGCTGATGACCTCATGTCCCAGGTTCAGGAATTCTATTGGCTATTTGGAAGCCAGCGTGCACACTTTTCAGCTGTGTCACCACTGGGGATCCCCCAATGACCCCAGTTAGTGTGGCTACTAAAGGAAGGGCAGCAGAGCTCACAATGCACCGAATGAATGAATAAAGAAGGAAATAATGAAAGCTACGAAGGGGTAAAAGAGTGGGTCACAGAGAAAAATAACTTTGGGATTTAGTTTCAGTGGGAAAAGAGCAATTTGCAACCCGCGGAAAACGCCGAGTGGAATCTGGGTGAGAGACTCACTGTCTCCGGCCAGGGAGACAGGGCGAGGTTAAGAAGTTTTCACATATGTTCTGGAGAGACTAGGGTAGGCTTAGTACATTGAGGGCACCACCCTCGGTCGTCTAACGCCGCTGAGTTTAGGGGAGACTGGAGACGCCCCAAAACTTGCAGGCCTGCTTAGCCTCCTGGAACCGCGCCCCTGAACACGCCTTGAGGATTTCTCATGGGTAGGGCGTCCAGTGCCTTCAGCCTGTCTTGGCCCTAAGAGCAGACTCCACCATAGCGCTCCACCCAGGAGTGCTTCTGGGCCTGAAACTGCCATCTGCACAGGGCCAGGCTGTATGGAAGGGAAGGTACATAAAGGGGATAGCACAGCCTAAGGACTGTGGCCTGAGGACAATAGTTTAAAGACCCCTCAGTCTATCTCCTCCAACAACCTAAGCATCCGCTTTTGCACCCGCAAGGCCTGGGCAGCGGAAGGTGTGTGTGTCTGGGTCAATTGAGCAGTCTGAGACTGAGGGCGTGTGTCTGAACGCGAGGAAAGCCTGCTGAGCCTGGGTCGGTTTCACACATGCGTTATCAGTAGCTGATCCGCGTGCCAGCTGGACGCGGGAGCCAGCGCACCTGCCTCGGTCAGAGAAGAGAGGGTGTCTGGGGCCACTGGGAGCTGGGGAGATCCCCATAGTTCTGAATCCAGGGCAGATCCCCATATTTCTGAATCCAGGGCAGGGGCTGCTAAACAGTCGCCTTGGACTTGCCCTTTCTATGATTTCTATGATGACAGACCTAGGTAGCAGTGTAGCCGGTTTCCATGGCAACATACGGACACCCTTCAGGAAGATGGCTGAGACGGACTCGAACACGGGACCAAAAGGTGTAGCTCACAGCTGCTCCCACGGTTCTTAGTCCATCCTCTCCGACCCACAGCATCCCTCACTGCTAAAGATCGAGGTTTAGGGTCAGTACCCTAAGTAGTACATGCACCTACAAGGCATTTTCTGAAGGTGGCCTCGAATGAAGGGATTATTAACTTGAATCTGTTCTGCCTGCAGCGCTGTTCTCTACCCTGGGGTTTAGCTAGAGCCGTATAATTACTACAAACTGTGAGCGCCAAAATCGAGTGTTCAGTGTGATGACAGGCAGGTCTTGCCTCCTTAGAAAGAGAAACCCGGGTCTGACCTAGGTGTGCAAGGGGATGGGGGAAGGGTTCGCCATTCCTAGCATCTCGTTGTTCCGTCCTCCCAGTCCCCCAACACACAGTGTTCACACGCTGCCTCTTGCTGCTGCAGCCCGGTGGAGCTAATCAGCACAACATCCACCTATCGATTGCTGGCTCCATGCCAGGCAGGCAGTACCTAGCCAGAAGAGACTGAAGGGTACGGTACCAAGGTGGGCAGAGCACAGCTGCAGGGGAAGGGATGCCTCCTCCCCATTCCACCCAGAACACAGTTCAGAAAGAGGGACCCGGTTGGGCTAGGGGGTGTCAGAGTCTCACCTGCCAGAGAGGAAGACAGTGAGAGCACAGGAGGCCTTCTCTCCAGAGCCCCACCTCCTCCTCCTCCTCATAAAAGACTAGAACAAAGAGGCCGCTAAGGAAGGCTTTGATCTGACCCCACCTTCCCAGTTCTAGGCCAGGCACCACCCAGAGTGCCCTTGGGGAGGGGGAGGGCTGCTAGGCTCTCCCACCCAGGTACTCTGAACCCAGGTGCCTTTGTTTCCCCCTTGTTTTTACCCCAGCACCCTACTGGGCACTGCCAGGGCTTGAGCAGGGCCCCAACAGGGTGAGTTGTTAGCCACACCTGCCACTGAGCACAGGATGGTGGTTGGGGAGGTGGGAGAGGGTGCCAAGCTCCACAGCTGCTGTTGGCACCCACCCCAACTGCCCAGAGGGGTGCCCACTGATGTCTGGCATCAATGGCTTGGGCACAGCTGGCATGGAGGTCAGGCCAAGCCAAGCTGAGAGCAGAGGCCCCAGGGAGTTTCAGTGTCAAGGAAGGAACCAGAGGGCAGTAGGTTAGGGAGGGTAACACAAAGATGAGTGTTTTTCAAAACAAATTTTATTATTAATGTGTGTGTGAGTGCATGTGTGTATGTGTACACTCATGCCCCTATGTGGAGGGCAAAGGACAACTTTCCAGCCTGTTTTCTCCTTCCACATGTGGGTTTCAGGAACTGAACTCTGGTCATCAGGGTTGTATGGCAAAAGCATTTACCTATTGAACCATTTCAACTAGACCAAATTCTAAAAAAATAATTGTTTTTTGAGTCAGGGTCTCATGTAACCCAGGCTAGCCTCCTGCCTCTACCTCCCAAGTGCTGGGATTATAGGCATGAGCCACCACACCCAGCTTCAGTGGGTGGTTTATTGAAGGTTTGGTCCAAACACTTACAAAAATACAAACCAGCATGAAATTCAACCTCATGGCAAGTCCGTCTTCACAGAAGACAAGTGAGTGGCCCCTTGGGGAGGGTAAGATGTTGCCCCTGGGAAGAGACCCATGGGGCACAGATGACAGAGCTTCTCCTTTGCTGTCGGCCAGCAAACCACCTTTTGCCAGGTCTTCAGCCTGGGCCCCTAGTGGCTCAAGGATTTGATCCCACCAAATCCCAGTCTTCAAGGGGGAGGAGATGAGATCATCGAAGCAGCTGACAAAGCCCCTAGGTTCATCAGGCCCATCTCCAGGTACACAGGACTGTCTGCAGCTCCCTTGTAGTTCTTCAGTCTGTGGTGAGGAGCAGTCACCTGCAAGGGTCATCTCAGATCCTCTGACTTTGCTCATCAAAACTCCATCTTGTCTGCCTGGTTTGGCATCCATCCCCAGTACAGGTGTCAGGGATCCTTCCAACAAGAGACTTTGGGAAAGGCTCTGGCTCCTCAGGGTGACAGGGAGGGTCTATCTGACTCACAGAACTCGCAGGAGACGTAGTATTGGGAGCAGCAGCAGCAGCAAGAGACAGAAGGGGCTGGGAGCATGCCCCCCATGCCACCCAGATGTACCACTCTCTCCAGGGCTCCCAACAGGATGAGCTGACTCAGATCCTGTGAAGGAGAAGGGGTATCGCTGATCTGTCTGCCCACTTCTTCAGAAGCTCCTCCCTGCCCTTCCCATTAGCTGTTCACTCTGACTCCATTCTCCAAGGTCTCCCCAAAGCAACCACTGCCTTCCCACGATCACCTTCATCCTTTCCAAGCCCTAACTTCCAAGTTCCCCAGTCAGTAGTCTTCCCAACTTTCAAGTCTCCTCCATAAGAGCCAAGTTCAGTTGAGGCTTTGAGGGCCTTGCCCTTGGAGACCCCATTCTCTGTGGGCAGCTTCAAAAAGGTATGATGGAAGTTCCCACAAGGCTGACTTGTGGGCAAAGGGATCACAAGCCGGAAGCTTCACCCAGATTCCTTAAATCTGATGTTCTTTTATTTTCCCTATTCCTTCCCTCCTTCCCAAAGGTCCTAGACTGGCCAGAAGGGCTGCCTGTGACCGCCACCCCCATCCACCTCCACCCCCACCAACCCACTTACTGCTCTCCTTGCAGCACACAGCCACCTGGAGTCTCAAGCACTGGCCAGAACTCTCTGGAGTTGGCACCGCTGGTGGGAAATTGGGAGGAGGAAGTTAGCACAGAAAGTCACCTCTCTATGTGCACTGGACTATTTCAGACCTTCTCGGCTTCTCCTCCTTTGGGACCACACCAGGTACTGTCCCATCATGCCTTTCTGCAGCTCCCTAGTCCCCCCTTCCTAGCTTCCATACTCTCTTCTCTGCACAGATTGAGTTGAACTGATCCCCTACCTAGGTTCAGACAACCTCCTGAGTTTTAGGGACCACAGCTCCCTTCCCCACCAGCCTTTTCTTCCTCCTTACTTTAGGCCTTGACCTGTGGCAAAAGCAAGGAGCCCTACTCCTCTCCCCTCCTTCCCCAAGAGGCATGTAGAATCTCCCATCACTCACAGATATAGTAGTAAGTCTCTCCAGGCAAGAACTCAAAGCCCAGGGAAAAGGGTGTGAAGCGCTGAATCTTTTCTGAGAATCGAACAGGGCCAAAGGGAGCAAAGGGCAATGAGCACTTCCAGCGCTGGAAGGCATTCGCCCCCTCTGCCTGGCAGGCCTTGTAGCCTGACCAATCTACCATGTATAAAGCAAAGGTCTCAGGGCCCTCAGGGGGCCCTGGGCTTTCATAGTGTGGGCAGAAGATGTCTAGGTAATCGTTGAGGCCCAGCTCCACCACAGCATCTCCTCGAAGCAGCCTGTGGGCAAAACAGAATGTGGGCTGCAGGGTTACAGCACAGAACTGGGACAGATGTGGGGTTGGTGCTGGCCTCTCTGCCATCCAGTAGAGATGGGTTAGCTCTGAGTTTCCCAGAATGACTTACACCCTCCTCAGCCTTCTGTCTTTGTTTGTTTTGGTACTGCAGGTTGAACCTAGGGCCTCATTCATACTAGTCAAACACTTCTACCACTGAGCTACATCACTAGGCGCTATTTTACTTTTTCTTTTGAGACAGGATTCCACTAAGTTGCCAAGTTGGCCTTGAACTTACTCTATAGCTCACTCTATAGCTCAGGCAGGCCTTGAACCTGTAATCCTTGAACCTGTAATCCTCCTGCTTTTGCCTTCCAAGTAGCTGAGATTATAGGCCTATGCACTGGGTCCAATTCCCAGGCTGTCACATCTTGAGAGACAGCGTACAAGAAATAGGTGTGATGATCAATTCATAGGTTCAGAGAGGTTTGGGAACTGCAGTGCCCACCCCACAAGACTTGTTTATTCGTGAGAAGGCCATCATCACACTCCACCTTTCAACATACCTCTCCTACAGCCCAGAGCCCCACATGGGGCCTGGCCTACCACCTGTGCCTGGTAAATGCTAGGAGGATGAATGCTGAGGGGCAAGGGAACAGATGCCCACAAAGCGACTTCAGAGATGAAGCTGGAACTGTAAGCAGCTCAGTACCATACACACAGAGAAGACTCTCATCCCATGGTGAAAAGAAAGCAGCTGGCCTGCAACTTACTATGTAGACCAGGCTGGCCTTGAACTCACAGAGATCCACCTGCATCTACCTCCTGAGTGCTGAGACTAAAGGCCTGCACACCCACACCCAGCTCTTTTTTTTTTTTTAAGACAGGCTATCACTATGTAGCCCAGGGTAGCCTCGAGCTCATGTTTGCCCTGCCTCACCTTGGCCTTCTGAGTGCTAAGATTACAGGCATGTGTCACTACAGCCCACTTTCCTTTTTTGACAAGAAAAGAAATGCTAGGTATGGAAGAGAACCCCTTTCATATAATCAGGACCCACTTCCTTACCTCTTGGGAGCTGTCTGGGGGAGCCAGTACACGTGGGAAGGGCTGGAACAGACTGCCCCCATGGTACTAAATACCACATGAGCCCTGGTCCCAACACCATATACATACAGTAAGGCTTGATTTAGGAATGGCCTCTAAATGGCCCTCAATGGGTGGCCTGAGGACCACCTGCTCTAGGGACTCTGACTAGAGGGATTTTGGGCTACTAGAGCATCTATAGACCGCAACCTGAGCAAGGACAGGGTCTTTGTACATTTCATTCCACTGTGTCTAGAACAGTACCCTGCTCAAGGCCAGAGCTCAATAAATACTTGTGGATTTCATGAATGAACCAGAAACTTACAGCTCGGGATTAGAAACCTAAATTTTGAACAAGTCCTCAAGTGGCTTTCAGAGGCACTGTTCTGGAACTGAGACAGAAGAAGTCAGAGTCCAGGACAACAATAGCTTTTATCACTCAGGACTGGTATTAGAATGACTATCTTGGCCTGCCCTCCTGCGGAGGGGGATGTGGGGGAGGAGAGTTTGTGGTCCCCGGAGGGCAGCATCTTGTCCTCCTTCCTGTATTGGTACTACCCAGCTACTCAGCACTGGTCCTGGCACTCAGTATGTGCTTATCAAATGTTAGTGAATAAATGAACAGAGCCACAGATTGTATGAAGTAGAAAATCAGAAAGGAAAACAGATGGGGACCGCAGAGAGGCAGGGAGAAATGGGAAGGAGGATGCAAACAGCAAAAAATACCGAGGTTCAAAGGCAGCCAGCTCAGGAGAGAGCAAGAAACAAGCATTTATATCTGTACAGCTGCGTTTCTTTTCACATCTGATCTCAGTCAGCCTGCTTCCCAGGGTGTCAGGTATTATTAGCCCATTTTGTAGATGACATAACTGAGGTTAGCGAGGTCAACCGACTTGCCCACAGGTGAGTCAGCTGGAAGGGCAGAGCCAGGACTGGACAGAAATAGAAGGACCGATAAAGTCCGAGATGGGAGCAGAGATTCGAAGATCAGGAGCCCGAGGGCGCCCAAGGGGACCACGGAGCGGGAGAGGAATCCTCATTCTTTAACCTGGGGAAAGACCCCTCCCGGGTTCTCAGGGGTCCGCCCCAGCTCCAGCCTGCGGGAGCCTGGGGCTCACCAGAAGAGAAGGGGGGCGGGGCCCGGAGTGCTGGCCCAGGCCCCCCCAGCTCCCGGCTCTCAGACTCCGACCACCCTGAGATTAGGGTCCATCGCCCGCCCCCCAACACGTGCGGGCGGGGGGACCCCGGGCACGCCTCGCCCCTCCCCCGCCGGCTCAAACAAAGGAGTCCCGGCGCGCGGCTGGGCTGGGCTGGGACTGCGCCGAGCCCCAGCGAGCGGCGGGCGCGCGCACAGCTCGGGAGCGCGCAGGCCCAGCTCGGCGCTCGCCAGGTTCGGCCCAGCTACCTGGGGTTAGAGGAGTTCCAGTAGACAGGGTGGCGGAGGCTGGTGCACCCCCGCAGACGCGAGCCGAGGAGCGCGGCCCAGAGGACAGTCGGCAGCAGGGGCAGCAGCCGCATCGCCCCTGGGGTCCGTCTGGTCTGGCCCGGCTGGTCCCGGCCCGCTTCTCTGTCGGGCGAGAAAGGTACAAAGTGGGGGTGGGGGGGCGGCTTACGGAAAGGAGGTGGGGTGTGGAGACTCCTAGGCCACACCCCCGATAACTTTCCACCAATGAGAACTCGTCCCCGCCTCTCCACCCAAGGCTAACTCTTGTTAACCCTTTGTGCACCCCGAGTGCGCTCCTGGTCAGTCAAAGCTTTCCTGGAGACCTGACCGCACTGGGAGTGGGGAGGAGGAGGGGACCTACTCCACTAGAGGAATTTTTGTTTTCAGTTGTTTTTGGTTTGGGGTGTGTGTGCGTGTGTGTGCGCGCGCGCGCGAGTAAGTCAAGAGGCCACAGGTTGTCGCGTGTATGTGTGTGTGTGTGTGTGTGTGTGTGTGTGTGTGTGTGTGTAGGGGGTGGGATCGTCCTCTATAGCTCTCCACCTTATTTCTTGAGAGTGGGTCTCTCATTGAACCTCGACCTCACTGATTGGCTAGATTGGCCGCCTTGTGAGCTCTAAGGGGCTCTTCCTCCACCCCAACCCCAGCCTTGGGGTTATAGAAGTAAACCGCTACACCTGAAGCCAGCACTTTACCGACTGAGTCATCTTTCTAATCCCTTTCTTAACTTGTTAGGTTTTTGGGTTTTTTTTTTTTTTTTTTTTTCTTGAGACAGGGTCAGGGTCTTACACTGTAGCCTAGCTGGCCTGGAACTTACATTGTAACCCAGGCTGGCCTCAAACTGGCAACAGTGTTCTGTCTCCTCCTCAGTGCTAAGATTACAGGTGTCAAACTTATATAAATCCTGCCATGCAACTTTCTTGTTTGTTTGTTTGTTTTAGGTCTTGACTTTCTTGTCTGTATTAGTTTTATTAGAAGTTTGGGAGGCCAGAGCCAGGTAGAATCGAATGTGCCTGGAATCTCAACACTCTGAGACCCACACAGAAGAATCCAGAGTTCTAGTGAGACTGAACTAACATAGCAAGATCCTGTTGGGAGTTGGGGAGAAGCTGGGTGCAGTGGCTAGCACCTGTAGCCCCAGATGTTTCTGGATGCTGAGGCAGGATTGCCTTGAGCCCCAAATTTCCAGGCCAGCTTGTGTGAGATCACATGATCCCCATCCATCCATACCCGCCCCCAAATATTGTGGGGAAGATTTAAATAAGGGCACACACCCATTGTCCAGATATGAGAAAGTGAGGCATGGGTCAAGATCCAGGGAGCATATCCACATATTTTCATACATTGCCCCCATTTCTTTGCACATCTAAAGGACAGTGCAGGGGAAAAGGATGAAGTGCTTCCCAGGACACCCCATTCCTACAGAGGCTTAGGTGCTACTAGGTGCCCACTTTGGGGAGAGTCCACCCCTTTCCACCACACGCCTGTCTGGGCTAGGGGTCGGTTAGGCTTCAGTGCTGAGGGTGAAGTGATGTGGTAGCAGCCTGCACAAAGCACCTTTGTTCTGGAGCCTTCAGGTGGGGGCAGGGAAGTAGAGGAGGCAGGTGTGAAGCCTTGAAATCCTGGGAGCCACTGCCCTGCTCCACCCAGGCTCTGGGCTCTGAGAACACCAGTTAGATAGACTTTTCCCAGCCACTGGTCAGTGGGCGGGGATGCAGGTCTGACGACTTGGGCAGTTTGTCTATAGCTGCTGGTGGGGCTGGACAGCATTGCGGGGGAGGATGTGAAGACTAGAAGTCATTCATCCCAGACTGGGAGAAACAAGCTGCAAGCATCCCCAATGACACATTTTGGTTGACCCTTTCTGGGACTTCTGCCCTCCCCAGCCTGCCCTAGTCTGATGAATTAGCGTCTCCTAGTGGCCAGACCTGGAAACACATCAGGAACTACCCAACTTCCAAGAGCAAATTCCAAAATCTCACATTTATTACAACAGAGCAGAGACAGGCTGTGTGCAAATTCTTCAATCTGATTCTCCAGCCCCAGCCCCTCCCCAACACCTAGCTACAGCTGCGCTGGTAGGTTCCCAGGCTGTTGCTTTAACAGCACCTGATGGTAGCTGGTTCCTTAGGACTGGATACTGAAGCATCTAGGTTCCTGCTCCTTTAGTCATTTTGGGGGTTTCCAGCAGAGATTTCACTTCTTTAAGTTCTAAATCTGGGCTGGAGGCAGCCAAACCTCAAGAGAGGTCAGAGGTAGAGCATGGATGCTACTGGGGGTGGTGGCGCTGGCCTGGAGTTTAGAAAGTCAAAAGAAAGGTCAGAGGTCTTACTAGATGTCTTACTGCCCGCCTGCCCTCAGCAACACCCTCCTCACCTACCTGGAGGGTACCACCAGCGGCATACTTCCAGCTCCTGGGCCAGGTAGGTCACCTGATGGGCACTGGCCCAGAGGGTCGGAAGGCAGTGGCTTCCTTGGGGGTGGGGGTTTGGCAGGCCCCTGAGACTGACAGAGAAGGCAGTAACCAATTTTGGGGGGATGTTTCCCACTCCCAGTGTAGAGGTGCTGGGGCACTACCAGGGGTCACCTTTGTCACTACCAAAGGTGCCACTGGGATTTGCACCCTCAGGCACAGAGGGGGTGGCCATGGCTACCAGGGTCACAACCCTAGATAGGAGGAGAGTCTGAGCCCGGATCTCCTCCTACGGTTACCTTCGGGAGCCTCACCACGGGGTCGGCGGGCAGAGGGCGAGTCGGGGGATTGGATAGGTCAGCCAGCTCAGCCTGAACAGAGAGAAGAGCGGGGGTCGTGAAAGCACAGTCAAAGGTGTGGGCATGCGTAGGTTCCCCACAGGAGTTTAGGTCAACGAGCAAAGTCAGCCAGTGGGCAGGAGAAAATGGGAGCATGCGCAGTAGTTTTGGGTGCGTGCCGATAGAGCCTCTGGGGAGGAAGGTGTGAGTCAGTTGTGGAGTCCCTGACCGAATGCAGTCCTACCATTGACCACCAGGTGGCAGTAGAGACCAAGACAGGAGGCTCGCCCTTGGCTGCTTCTGGGCCTGTGTCTGAAGGCTGAGGGGGCACCCTGGTTTCCTAAGGAAGAGCACCACTGGGAGAAGCAGGGATGAGAACTGCGGTTGGGTACCAAGCCTCCCACCTGTCCTGAGCCAGCACAAGGCCCGGCCCAGATTTACCTGGAGTTTCTTGGGCACAGGGTCAGGTGGCAGCGGCCTGGAGGGGGGAGCTGGGAAGGCCAGAGCACTAGCCTGCTGAGAGGGCAGGAGGAGCAGACAGGCATAGGGGGCAGGACAGAGAGACAGATGTGGGCAGAGAGGGGTTAATATCCAGATAGGGGCATCAGGGCCCCAGACAAAGGCAGAGGGTGCTGAGCATGCAGTTACTCAGCTGCATGCAGGGGTGACATGTAATGGAGGGGACATGCAGGCTGCCTCCACACACATCCTCCTGCCACTAAAGCTAGAGGGCTCAGACCCTGGGCACTCACCAGCCTTTTACTCATGGTGTCCTGGGCCTTGTCAGATCCTAGCATATTAAAGGTTCTTTTGAGTACCACCCCCCTTGTCCCCTGGAACAATGGTTACTGTGAAGGGCATGGATAGACCCACCTCTTAAAGTCACCAGCTTGGCCAGCTGAGAGAGCTCAGCAGAGCCTCGTGAGATGACTGGCCCTTCTACTCCGGCTGTGCTCAGTCCTTTGCCTGCAGCTGGGCCTGATTCCTTAGACTCCTGGGCATTGCTAGTCTTTTTCTCTGACTCTAGGACCTTTGGTGCCACCTCTAGGGCCTAAACTGGGTGTCAAGTAATGTGGGCCCTCTTTCTTCTGGCATCCAGAGCTCACCTTAGTGCCTGACATCAGCTGTGTCCTCTGTGGGGGTCCTGGCCGTTCAGGAGGATTAGATTGGGCTGCCCTGAGCATGAGGAAAATCAGAGAGTGGACCTAACCATCCACCTGCTGCCCCAGGGGGAAGTTCACTCCTTATAACCTGTGAGGTAGCCTTGTGTGTTTAGAGTAGAGGTGGGATTGAACAGCCTGAAGGAGGACCACTCTTATCCCACCTTGGGGTCCAGGGTGAAGTGGCCCTAGCAGCTGGGGGTATGCCTTGTGAGTGAAGTTGTAGGACTTATAGGATGCATGTAGGTAAGGACACATGTAAGTTGGGAATGGTTGGTGGTCAGCAGTTCAGAGTCTGAGTAGCTTGGGGCTCAGAAGTAGTTGGCAGGGACTGCATAGGTGAAGGTGGGCTTTAGAACTGTACCTAATTGAAGGAGATGGTAGCAGGGAACCAGTGTTCATACCTGTACTGGCAGCTGGATCCCTTGAGCTGGCAGAGTCGATGGTGCAGGCGGGCACGATGCCAGTAGCTGGCACCAACTAGCACTAGGACTAGTAACAACAGGAGGCTGAGGAGCAGGCCTGTGGTCAGGGAGCTGGTTGCTATGGAAGGATGTCAAAATTAAGGGTGGATAGGGCTAAAGACTGCCACTCCAGGAGGGGCAGAGATAGGGAGTAAGTGAAGTGGTCAGAGATTGTGGAGGGGTTCAGGGGTCACAGAGTCAGTAAGCCAGAAGTAAAAGGGTCAGAAAGAGGATGGAGATTGAGCCATTTTGCCTTCCCAATTGCCTTGGGCCCAAGCCGTGGCTACCTCGGAGCTGAGTCTTGCAGTCAGGGGGTGCCCAGCCCTCCTCACAGTGGCAGTGCCTGTTGCTGTCACAGACCTAGAGGTACAGAGAGAACACTGAGGATGTCTGCAAGAGGAAATCATTGCCCTGTATCTGGCTTTTTAAGAGCTCAGGCTTCTAAAACTGGCAGGAGTGCTAGGGATGACAGGTAGACAGTCTCATGCCCATCTCACACCCCCACCCCAGGATGTGGGCACCATTATTATGTCCCATTTGATGAATGAAGAAACTGAGCTCAGGGAGGTTACTAACATGCCCCAGGTCCCATAGCTGGTAAGTGGCAAAGATTGGAACCCAGGTAGGTCTGTTTCCAAAGTCCCTCGTTTTTTTCAAGAGGCTCCCTCTTCCCTTTTCATCTCCTCCACACCAGCTCACCCCATGCCCATGGCATTTGCTTCGACATTCCTGTGCTCCCAGGAGATCCACAGGCTGGCACTGATGGTCAATGCACACCTGCTCCATGGAAAGAAAAGCAAAGATCAGTCTCACAGAGCTTGGTCAGGACTGGGAAGCCAATGAGGCTATGAGGTTGTCCCTGCATTTACAGATGGGGAAACTGAAGCTCAGTGGGAAGACAAAGCTTTATTCTCTCTGAGGTAAGAATCTGACTTCCTGTGAAGCCAATGTCTTTGGCACTGGTGGAGTGAAGCCTGGGCACAGCTTGCTATGATTTAGATGTTCCTTTCTACCTGAACTCACCAACCCAGGCTACTCACCAGGCCAGAGCCACAAGCAGTGCCAGGCAGAGCCAAGAGGGGCTGGGCCACATCACTGCCCAGGTCCAGGTGTGCCCAGCTGCAGTTCAGCTGTGTACCATTGGCTTCCAAGGCCTCCCAGAGCAGATCCCGGGCTGAGCCCAGTAGAGGCTGGCTCCTACCCCCCTGGCACTGTAGTTGCCCACAAATGGCATCTCTGGAGGTGGGGAGAAAGGCAAGCAGGATTGGTGGAAGCAAGGCCAATCTCCCACAAACCCAGAGAAGCTTGTGTTCTGTACTTACCTAGGTGTGCAGGGCACATAGCTGCCATTGGGACTGCGCCCACAGCTCCCAAAGGCATTGCCCCGAGTGTTGGCTGTTAGAAGGCAAAGTGGTGCTGCGGGCTGGGCCCCATGTCCCCAGAGTGACTGGCACTGCTGGACATAGGAGGCACAGCGCCCATGCATGCATACAGCCTGTCCATCAGCACAAGGCTCGCCATTCCCCAGTCTGATGTCAGGTGGGCACTGGGAACTATCTCCTGGGCAGAACTCGGGCAAATCACAATCATCTCTCCGAGGGCGGCACTGCCATCCAGCTGGGTGCAGCTGTAGAGGGTGGGTGAGCATCAAAGTTGGTGATGGGCAAATTCAACCAGGAGCTCAGGGATCACAGAGGTCCCCCTAGTGCCTGACAGGCGAGCTCTGGGGTGGCTAGTTTCAGGTCTGTGCCCACCTTGCAGTTTTGACAACAGGGTCCATCAGATGCACACTGTGCCCCTGGCCTCAGCTGGCAGGTAAAGTAATCACAGCAGGGATCAGTGCACTCCTGCAGACCAGGACACAGAGGGAGCTGAGCCTCAGAGCAGGGCACACCCCCTCACCCCTCAGGGGAGCAAATCCAGAAGGTGCAGAAGCCACACAGTAAATGAGAACCAGAGCCCAGCAAGCTATGTCCTGAAGTCAGGAAGGTCTCTTCAGAGCCAGAAACAACTCAGGAGGCTTGGAAAGGGCTAAGTAAGGGCACAGAGGGGAGTGGTCAAGGCTTTGGGTGAGGGGCTCACATCTGGGAAGCCACAGTCACACTGCTCGCCAGGGTCCACCAACATATTTCCACACGAAGCAGACATAGAGGGCAGGCTGGGCTGCCGTTCAAAGAGACAGCTGCCCATCCCATTTAGGAGGGATTTCTCCAGGGCCTGTCGGCTGCAGTTGCTGAAGTTTAAGCCTGGGAGGAAGCTGGGAAGAATGGCAAGAAAGGTTAGGCTACAGATTCTTCTAGCTTGCCTTACTCTGCTCTACCCTTACCCTGTCCCTATCCCTTAGTTACTCACTCTGTGGAGGACTCCATGATGCAGCTCTTGGCTGGGGCGGGACCTGGACAAGGACAGCTGCTCCCAGGTGAATCATGGTCCAGGCCCAGGCTGTGGCCCAATTCATGTGCGATAGAGGAGGCAACTCCTAGGGTGCTTGTGGAGTGGTCCTATCATTGGGAAGGGAGATACCCCAGGTCCAACCCCAGCCTGGTCCCAACACAATGTCTAGCCTACCCTGACTATTCCCACCCCCTCCTCAGCTGTTCTCCTGTGCATTGCCTTCCTCCTTAGTTGCTTCTGAAGTAGGAGAGTCCAAGCCTGGGTAACAGGAAATCTAAATTTTAGCTCAACTCTGCACTCCCCCCGCCCCCACCCCAACACTGTGTAGCCCCTGAATATCACCTCTGCTCTTTGGGCCTCGACTTCCCCCTAGAAATGGGAAAACTTTGAAGTGACAACTCTATACTGTGAAGAACTGTCCAGAGTTCCCTGACAAGTAGAGGCTACCTCATGGACCTCTGCTCTAATTATCCACAGCCTTGAGATCAGTCCAGTTTAAGGGAGAGGAGCTTTCAGTAAATAATGGTTCTGTATATGGGAAGAATATAAATGGAAATGGGGAGAAGACTTGCAAATAACTTACCATATTGACACCTCCTGAGAAGTCAGGGGAACAGATGGAATTCTGAATGGCCATCCCCACCATAGGCCCAGAGAAAGAAGTAACACTGTGGGACAGATGTGAAAGGTCAAGGCCCAAACCATCATCAGAGCTTCAGTACTCTGAGAGATGAAGTTGAAGGGACATGAATGTGGCCCTGACAGGATAGTGCCAGGCTCCAATGGCTGAGCCTGGGGTCCTTACGTCACCAGCTGGGCACTATCATGGGGCAATCGAGGCAGCAAATCTGTCCGGCGCCAGTGGAGGAAGTTTTCTAGTATGACAGCTGGGTTTGGACTCATCTCTATCAGGTCATGCTGGGTCCAGGCCTCCAGGCCCACAAGTGCCACCCGAATATTCAGGGGCTGGAAGAACTGAAAGAGAGCTGAGGTTCAGAAAAGGGGCTGCTGCAGTCAAGGGGCTATGGGACTTCTACCTAGCCCAACACTCACCGTGTCTAGCAGGAGGGCCACTTCTAGTGTGCGGTTCAACAACTGTTGGAAGTCGGGGTACTTCCTGACCTAGGGGCCAAGAGCATTTACCTTGAAAGATGGGAAGGGACTGAAGGGGGCAGGACAGAGCTGTAGTAGACGCACCTCTGAATTATCAGCCACAATCACCAGCTCAACAATTTTGGTCTCTGTTACCACATCCCGCTTCCTCTGTGGATAAGAAGTGAGGAATGTCAGGCAAACCTACTGCTCAGGGCAGGGCTCACAGACTGAGCTGTGCCCACACCTCAGTAGTCAGAGAGAGGACATGAAAACCTGAGAGACTGGGAACTTTCCCATAGTGGACCAAGAATAGATTATGAAGCTAGTAGTAGGATTCCACTTTTCCTGCTTCAAACTCTGCTTCTTCCAATTAAAAACAAACAGGCTTGGGCCGGGTGTGGTGGCGCACGCCTTTAATCCCAGCACTCCAGAGGCAGAGACAGGCGGATCTCTGTGAGTTCAAGGCCAGCCTGGTCTACATAGTGAGTTCCAGGACAACTGGAGCTACAGGGAGACCCTGTCTCAAAAAAAAATAAAATAAAATAAAAATAAAAAAATAAAGACAAAAAAAAATAAAATAAAAACAAACAGGCTGGAGAAGTGGTTCAGTGGTTAATAGCACTGGCTGCTCTTCCAAAGGAAGCGAATTCAGTTTCCAGAACCCACATGATGGCTAATAACCATCTGTAACTCCAGGCCTCAGTGGGCGCTGCATACACCTGGTACACTTAACACACAGGCAAAATACACACATAAAATAAAAATAATAAATAAATAATTTAAAAATATTTATTCAACCAAGCACACACTTTTATTTATTTATTTTTTTTGAGTCTCTTGCTCTGCTGGCAGTGAACTCAAAAATCCTCCTGCCTTTACTTCCCAAGTACTAGGTATGTGCCACTGTGCCTGAATTAGTTTTTTTTTGTTTTTTTTTGTTTTTTTTCCTGCTCCTTCCAATTTTTTTTCCTCTTATTGAGACAGGGTCTTCATGTAGCCCTAGCTGGCCTGGAACTTGCTATGTAGACCACACTGGCCTCGAATTCACAGAGATCCACCTGCCTCCGCCTCCCAAGTGCTGGGATTAAAGGCATGTGCCAACAGGCCTGACCCTGCTTCTTCCAATTTTTATTT